AGCCTGCCAATGCCTGTCGGTGAGCGTTTCGACGCATTTCGAGCCTGTCCTGGGTATAAAAGATGCCTACATGTAGCTAAAATACAAATGTTAAAACAGATGTGTGGTGTGATGCCACGATATAGTGGATGAAAAGTTAAGAACTGACTGCACGCTTGGCATAGTCATAGCTTCAGCGGTCAACATGCCGCTTCCTATTGCACTGAGTGTTATTGGTTCGATCTCCACATGAGACAACACTGTGTGATCCACAAAGTAAAGTCCCCCGTGACAGAACATATTCCTAGTGCGGGTGTTGTCCAAAAAAAACTAACTGACTTTTGAAATCAGTCAGTATCAGTATTTCAAATAAGGGTATTTTGATAGTACGCGATAACTATCAAACTAATAGATTCATTTAGTCATGGAATTGCCTAGTACAGTAGCACAATGGAGCGTTGTAATTTAATTATACATAGCATCATATATTACACAATATTTTTATGTTTTACATTTATATTTATATTATGGACTAGGTGAGACCCGCGGTGTTACCCGCGTTTGTTGTTGTAACCGCGGGCAACGCCGCGGGGCTAAGTTACTGCTTATGTCATCAGCTATCTGCCAGTGAAAGTCCTGTCGAAATCGGTCTAGCCGTCCCAGAGATTACCCGGAACAAACAGACAGACAGACAGACAAAAAGACAAAAAAATAAAAAAAAGTTATTTTGGCATATGTATCGTGTAAACATACATATGCATTTAGTAAAAAACAGGTATTTTAATATTACAAACAGACACTCCAATTTTATTTATTTGTATGTATAGAAGATATAGATAATTGAATATTAAACTCTGATTTTAAGGAGCGTCCTGTATGTTTTATGTACTGTATAATAGAAAATGCTTGTACTGTAGTATGCTTTAGTTTTATTGTTATTTGTCACACCAACCTACCAAACTACGCAGTAGTTGGTCTGACAGACGCTGTTTGGTAGAAATTTTAATAGATTTTTTTAAATCTCGTCGAAAAAGGAAGAAAAACACTTCCGGCTTGCCAAGAATCTCCTCATTTCCTGTGCAACTTTTCCAATTATCTTTCCCAAAAAACGATTTTCGGCCTTTCATCAAAATATATAAAAAACTAAGCAATAATTTCATTTTTATTTATAACTAGCTGAGACCCGCGGTGTTCCCGCGTTTGTTGCTATAACCGCGGGCAACGCCGCGGGGCGAAGCTAGTCTAAAAAAGTAGCCTAAGTTACTCCTTATGTCATCAGCTATCTGCCAGTGAAAGTCCCGTTGAAATCGGTCCAGCCGTTCCAGAGATTAACCGGAACAAACAGACAGACAGACAGACAAAAATTGTAAAAAATGTTATTTTGGCATCGTAGTAAAAAGCGGTTATTTTAATATTACAAACAGACACTCCAATTTTATTTATTTGTATAGAAGATTTGGCAGCATTTATGTAAACGTGTTCTCTATATTCATTAAATATTATTGAGAAATACTGAAATATTTAAATATATTATTGAAAATAATAATAAGATAACTCTAAATATACAAGGATATAGTTTGATATTGGGCCAATAATGTAACAAAAAAAAACATGAAAGTTATAGTTATTCCAGTAATATCCCAAAAGCTGTAAACGCAACACACTACATGCATGTACTTACAATTTCACTAAAGTACATTATTTTTTTGTTTTCATTTGTTATCTTAAGAATATTGTTTAATCTAGCAGTGTTTTTGCCTACACAAAAGGACAAATACCTAATTTTATCAGAATTAATAACACTCTTATACGCAAACCATGTTCATTACAGCTTGCCAACCTGTTTTTCTGCACTTCCGGGAGATTGTATGTTAAATAACCAAGTAAAAAAGTTATCTTTCGACGTAAACTCATGAAGGCATTGTGCTTTGCAGGTCGTAGCTAAGTAACCACACAGTTGACCTACAAATAATTAATTTTCTTTCGTCACTGTCACAGAATTTTACTATGTTCAAATGTATATTTTAATATTTGTAAATGTATGGACTGGCCTTAGTATAGTGTTTAATGGAAGGGGTAAAACCTAGGTCCTTGTTCGAAATGACAGAAGCAGTAGGAGAAACTTACCTAAAACTTATTATCAAAAATGCTAACCAACTTGAAAGTATAAAAATGTACGCTTCCAGAAAGATTTTGCGAATGTCAAGTATAATTATGCAAGCAAGTAGTATTTAACAAACACTTTCAGTTCGCAATTACAGTGTAACCAGCTTTTAGCTATCACATGTGGCATTTTTTGAAGATGACTTTTAAACTGCACTGTAGCTCATTGCCTTAGATTTCCAATCGTTTACAATTAATCTGTGGTGGTGTAAGTTGCGTCGTTATCTTTCCGTACCAATATTAGCTACATAAATTAAGAGCACTGCAAATAAATCTATCTACATTACAGCATAAAGCAGTGGAAAAGCACCAACTTATGATTTCTGACAAAGCTGTTTGTTTTTTTATATCAATAAAAATACCAACAGTCCGTTAAAGCCGAAAGATTTTCATAGGAATGTTACGATATTTATCATTCAATGGAGAGCGAAATCATCGATTGCCAGAATCTTGTCCACCGGCTTGTCCTCTTGGCGTTGCGTAGAGATCGTCACTCGCATTCTCTATTTGGGTCATACTCTGAAAAAATTTACATTTGCCATTTGTTAATAAACTGATAAGTAACGAAATGGAGAATCAATGTGATGAAACTGATATTGTAAAGCAGGGTACATACTGAACAGAACATGCATAATTAATCTAAATTAAAACATAATATCTCAAAAATCTAAATCATGCTCATCCTACCCGACGGGAATAAGTGAATATTCCAACGATACGAATATATCATTAAGACTAAAGAACCCTAAGCCTATTTAGTTGTTTAGTTAAGTTAGTGTGACGTAGTGCAGTGAGTGCTACTCTTGAAGAACAAGTACAAAGTGTATTTTCATTGGAGTAGGAACCATAAGAAAAGTACCAATAGACGCACTTTTTAAGTATATTATAATTTTTAGGCTAATAAATTTAAATTACTCATTACACCTAAAGGCTTGATTGCAATTATTATGGGGGACCATCCAGCTACAAAATAATGAAAAAAAAACTCAATTGTATGAATCAGTATGTACGATTATAAAATGCAATTGTAGGTTTAGTAGTAGTTACAAATTAAATTAAATTACAGTTTTGTCGCTAAATTACAAATTATTGTTCAAAGCATAAAAATAACTAAGAACAATCATACACATTTCTAAATTATCAATTAAATAATGGGAGTAATATTGTCAAAATTTAATCGGGCCCTTCTATATTTCGAGCAACGAAAGACAACAAGTTGTCAAGAACCGTTAAGACCAAATTCAAAAAAAAATAAGCAAGATAGTAATAACAATATTTCTTAAAAATAATATAATCTTTCATAATAAGAATCAACTTAATAAAATAATAATATTATTGATTATAATTAAATAAAAATAGAAATAAATATAGAATTATAATTAAATAAAAAATATCCTAAATACTTGACTACTCTGCACAAGTACCCATACAAATAGTAAAATAATAGGTCAATCATATTTTTTTTAGTTCAACAGAAATGACGGGCTTGATTCCCGAACGTAACAATATACGTTCGGGAATCAAGCCCGTCATTTTCATTGTACCACGATTACACTTCTGTTCCCCTAAATTAATGTGATAAAATATTAATAGAAAATAATTAATTTTTCAAATTAGAGTAACTACGTAAACTCAGCTTTACAATTTTTCAGTTTCGTAACATAACGCAATATAACTAAACTGAAGACAAACTCTGAGAAATTATAACCCCGAAAAATAATTCTCTTAGTACCACTTATTGTATACACAGTAACTGAATTTATTTGTCTATATATTATTATAACTAAGACGTGGGCATAAAATAGTACAATCAATCGTATATGCTTATCGAAATTCAAATCGTTTATCACCCTGACAGTATTTTTTCCCAAATGCGAATTCAACACAATGACTCTCGTGTACGGATGAAAACAAAATGACCTCTGTATGTACATTGAATTATAAAAAGCAGCAATGTTGTCAATATTAGGAAAACTATTTCCCGTTAGTTTCGAACAACTGCGTTCAGAATTAACTAACACTGAGTAACGAAATGTAATAATTTTGGGACAACAGTAATATGTATTTTAATAATTTTATTAAACGTTCTAAAGAATAAATCGTATTACTTTTTAAATGATGTTCTAAAAGAGACCTAAATGACTACAGTCAATCTTATGTAAGTCGACTAATAGTCGTAACAATTACTCTTTTATTAAGAAAAAACGTTATTGGGACATTAAAAAATTGTATGGAAGATATTTTATAAAAAAAAACCAATGCTATTTATACTTTGATTTGACGCAAATATTATATTATTTATAAAAAAAAGATCCTATTAAAGACTAAACAGATCTGTAGATGTAAACATGATTAAAAATATGTGCCATAATATTCAAATTTGAAATCTGCTATTAAAGTTGTGGGAGAAAAAAAAGTGCCAAATGTACATTTTTTCCAGTCCCATGAGTATGACCCATTTATTGTATCGTCATGATAAGAAAACTTGGCGACTCTTACTCGAAATTTATTAAATAGAAATACATTTAATTCAATAAAATTTTACCCTCCTTCACATCATCAGCCTTTAATAGTCCACTGCTGGACATAGGCCTCTCCTTAGAAAGGAGGTTTTGGCCTACTACACCACGCTGGCCAGACGGGTTGGTATAGGGTTTTCCTTCTTTTTGCAGTGCTGGTGACCTGCGTTGTTTTGCGCCCTTAGTCGGCTCTTACGACACCCACGGGATGAATTGGGGTAGTGACATTCCGTATTCTTAATCCGTCACTACACGGACACCCTTTATTATTATTATATTACCCTCCTTACAAATACTTAATCATTTTTTTTACAGATAGGTACTGTCTTTTTAAACAAAATGTACCAACTATACCTAACTTCGGATAGGGTGCGATTGGTGGGAATAGTACGATTTTCTATTCCCATCTTCGGGCTCTTTTTTGCTGACCACCAATTCAAGCCACTTTTTAAATTGCTGTCGCTGCCACTCGCCGCGAGAAATTTTCGAGTCAAATATTTCTTAAGTAGGTAATTTTCGGTATTCTTTACCTAACGGTTGGATTGAAACTTTTAGGTAATATTTTTATGATTATGATTAAAATCTAAATATCCGTTAGTTTTAAGGTTATTCCAAGGTATGCAAATTTGTCTGAATTTTAGTGTACAATAAGGAGCATATCTATTTATAGTATCACGCAGAGGTAATATTTACAATAAAAGTAATAATCAACATGTTCATAATGCTTCTCTATATAAAATCATCAACAACCTTTAATAGTCCACTGTTGGACATAAGCCTCTCCTTAGAAAGGAGGTTTTGGCCTTCTATACCACGCTGGCCAGACGGGTTTGTATAGGGTTTGTGTTAAGTTTTCCTTCTTTCTGCAGTGTTGTTGTTCTACGTAGTTTTTTCCCTTAGTTGACTCTTACAACACCCACGGGATGAATAGGGGTGGTGGCAATCTGTATTCTTAATCCGTCACCACACACCACGGACGGATATAATCAAAAAAAAAAAAATTTCTTAAATTTTGTAAATAGCAACTTAAATTAGAGCCCATTAAATCAAAAACAAATAAGTATATTTAAGTCTATACATTTTTAAACGTTATAGCATAATCAAGTTCGCAAATATGAAATAAAAAATTAAATGGTCCTGAATCAAACGTTGTTTCCTCATGGACCAACTATGTATGCACAACTAGTTGTGTCATGAGGAATATTTTTTTTAAATCATTCCTATTGGCACAACGAAATAATTTTCAATTAATATTTGTTCCTAGATACACAACTGATTACAATCGGTGTACAAAGGTTCATCGTTATGGTATAAGTTCTTCGTTTTCTGGCGTAGCCTTAGACATGCTTACAGTGAGGATATACGCCAGCGTATGCACGAAAATAATATATCAATATTTTTTAAATAATTACTGATAATAAATGACATGAAATGGCATTTATAATTTTCTATTTGTTAATATACAAAGATATGACAGAAGTGGCCAACATAATCATCAATATCTGAAGAGGTTAGTAATAATCTTATTTATTTCCTCCTGTAGTTGTGCTAAAAGGAATGGTTATAGTAAATCAGTTGTGCTTAGTTGTGCATAGTTGTGTCATTAAGAACATATTCTGGGATGGCACAACTAGTTGTGCGTACATAGTTGGTCCATGAGGAAAACGGGACTTTAACCGTTGTTTCCTCATGGACCAACTATGTATGCACAACTAGTTGTGTCATGAGGAATATTTTTTTTAAATCATTCCTATTGGCACAACGAAATAATTTTCAATTAATATTTGTTCCTAGATACACAACTGATTACAATCGGTGTACAAAGGTTCATCGTTATGGTATAAGTTCTTCGTTTTCTGGCGTAGCCTTAGACATGCTTACAGTGAGGATATACGCCAGCGTATGCACGAAAATAATATATCAATATTTTTTAAATAATTACTGATAATAAATGACATGAAATGGCATTTATAATTTTCTATTTGTTAATATACAAAGATATGACAGAAGTGGCCAACATAATCATCAATATCTGAAGAGGTTAGTAATAATCTTATTTATTTCCTCCTGTAGTTGTGCTAAAAGGAATGGTTATAGTAAATCAGTTGTGCTTAGTTGTGCATAGTTGTGTCATTAAGAACATATTCTGGGATGGCACAACTAGTTGTGCGTACATAGTTGGTCCATGAGGAAAACGGGACTTTAACCCCTATTATTATCCAATACATTATAGCGCTAAACCATTCAACCAACCAATACATATAAGGTATATGTCCCAAAAAATACATCGAATAAAGTTTAATGTCATCAATCATCAATCATCAACAGCCTATACTAGTCCACTGCTGGACATAGGCCTCTCCTTAGAAAGGAGGTTTTGGCCTACTAAGTTTAATGTACTTAAAGAGAATTCTCTAAGTATGTACATTTAACTTAATTCGATGTACGCGAGTTGACAGATTCTTTAAAAATTGGAAGATATTTTTGATGATTCCTGACTCAGATCCGTGGTTAACAATTTAAAAAATTGAATTAATGAAAAGGAAAACATTAAGCTGTAATGATACTTATTTAAACTAAAAATATAAATAATAATACAATGTTAACTGTAATGTAACGTAATTAAATATACACACATAACAGTAATATAACTTTCTGACAACTTATTAAAGATGTGATTCAAGCCCTACAGAAAATAAGTATAAAATAATTTTGTATCCAGTATCCACCCCATCTCGCATGACGTTTTCATCAACGTTAACTAAAAATTGGTATAAATGTTCGGAACACCATTATAGTTTTTTTTTTCTTTTCTTTGATAACATCAGAAGTTCATCTGCCACTTCTTCTCTCATCAATATTAATATATTTTCGTTCCTTTTGCTCCGAGTATAAACACGATTCACGATCACAATCACGACTACAACACGAGAGCGCCAGCGTCCAGAGAACCCACTCGCAAGCGGCCGACGGTGTACGCCACCGGCAGCGGACATGCGTCGAACCGGGTCCGTTCCAGCCTGCAGATATTAAATAATTGGCTTGGAAATGCCACGACGGTTTTTTACTGTTTACAATATTAATTATTGAATATTTTTAAGAATTAGCACGCGGGCAAATTAAATTAGCGCAAGGGCAATTTTTTCACGCTTGGTAGAGTAAAAAATAATCATTTTTCAAAGAGATATGGCTATTTTAAGTAGAGGAAAATTGAAAATTATATTTCTATTTTTCCTGGGAAAACGAAAAACGGGCTTATAAATTAATTAACGTAGGTCGAAAGGGCTAATTGAGATCTATTAAATGAGATTTTTATTATTTTGAAATTTTAATATCTGCAGGCTGGAACGGACCCGGTTTGCGTCGGTCGTCGCTCACACGCGACCGACGTTCAGAGAACGCCGGGCCTAAGCAGATTAACATTTAAATGTTCAATTAAATTCAAGTTCAAATCTCAGCCAGCCAGCAAACTCGGCAACACAACAGGCACATCATCATCACACGGAACACTGCAGCTAGGGTCCACGTAAGAAGAGCATATCTCCCCGTCTACGCAGCAGCCAGCCACTACGCAGCAACCGCCCAGACTTCACCGCAGTACCGCCCACCGTACGCAATCCCGACTCAATGAGATCAGTGGACTTCAGTCCCGACTCACTGAGACTAGCGGCACTCAGTTCCGACTCACTGGAACTAGCGGCTCTGAGTTCCGATTCACTGGAACTGCTCACTACTGGCAATGGCACGCTTATAGATATAAGGCCGGTTTAACCAATTAAAGCAATGCAATTAAAACGAAAAAAAAAATTCAATTTAAAATGTTTTTCTTAATAATGACTACATTTTCTTGATTTTACCGAGGTAGGGATATGACGAAGTAAAGATAAACTGTTTAAATATGTTTTATATGTGTGATATACTGATATTGATATACGTAGCAGGTTTAATTCTAGTTGGTTCGTACGCCCAAGCGTAGGTATTCCTTCCTAAGTTATAAAAAAATATTGATAAGTTAAAAACTCTGTAAATAAACATTGTTTTCAAATGATATAAATAATCAATTTGATTCGGTTTAAACCAAACTCAAACTCTCGCACTCCCGCGATGGCCTTGAAGACATAACGTTGTCTCTATCATGCGCAAGTAAAACGGACGGCATTGTGGTAATGTCTTGTAATCTAGTGTGTGTGTAATATAATATAATAAAACGAAACATTGTACATACACATGACTTTCTTTCATTTTTGTAGGCGAGTTTTAAACCGTTTAAAACGATTTATTCGGGGTTCAAAATGTCTACATTTTATTTAAAACGTTTTAAATCATTTTTTACATCTATAGGCACGCTCCACACTGGAGCATAGACAGCTGACTCATCATATATCGACCTCCGGTCTTGGAGGGGAGTGAATTGGCGACTTCCACTTACGCTGAAACAAATAAACATACTACATCGCCATCTATCAAAGACACACCGAACTACGGAGTAACTGCCAGTCCCAAATCGCAATATTAATAATTCTCTCCCCGATTTGCATATATACAAATTCCCAACATCAACCGTTGAGCCGCAGCCTGCCAGGCATGATCAACCCACCTGGTCGGAGGATCCTCCCTTGGTGTTGAAGGGACATGACACCCGTTCCTCCATAACTATATTAATTTCTTCCTTAGTTTCCATGTGCCATCCAATAGCAATTATCTAATTCGGTACTGTTGTCATCAAAATGTTCCTAATATAAATAGATTCTTTTATAATCCACGGCACTTGCAAAATTTATGTATCATATTATTAATATATTCTCACATTCCATTTACCCCAATTAGTTTGCATTCAAATGATTTTTTTTTTCTTTGACATAATTGTTTCCGTAATCACTATTCGCTACCTTTATTTGTCAGTTGCGATACTTGCATTTCGAACCGTGAGCCATAAAGCAGAAAAGAAAAAAAAAAGAAAGAAAATTACCAAAACGGCATTATTATTCTGTGACTAGTAATATTACTTTACTCTGTGTCTGTGCTGTGACTATAACTTTATCAGTGACACTTGCAATTTACGTTTTGTATTGAGCCGTAAGTAATTGATTTAATTTTGTTTTGAATTGTAAAATTGTAGGATATATACGTGCAATATTATCCGTAATCAATGCCCTACATTCTGATTAGAGGAAATCTAGCGTCATATGGACATAAAAACCCGTGGCGTGTTTTGGTATCCGGCTTGAAAGGTAGAGATGTTGAAAATAAATAACAAATCCTCCACAATAAAATGAGAAATGGAATGTAGACTTCAAACAATCTTACAGAATAGGAAAGTTAACTGCTTACGTATTTATTTTACTATTCCTTTTCTCATTTTACCATTCGTGACTCACTAATTTACTCAATTGTGTGTAATTCTAACTAGTATAATTTGTTATGTTTAGCTGGTGACATAGAACAACTGAAGAGGTTCGCATGTGGCGGCTATTGCGACGATTCCACTATTGTTTACTTACAACATCCTTGCGTTATTCTTAGTGCACTAGAGGTAACGAAATACAATATAGTTTATTTTCATAACTAACGAAGTAATTTCGAATATTTTTAGACATGACTCAGTATGTTAATGTGATCGTTAAATTGATTTACAGGTATTAGGTTACAAGGTTGTGGCGTCCAGTTCAACTGCTGTCAAGCAAGACTATAATGAATATATGTGGACTATGAGAAAAGAATTTTCTGAGCCAGAACCTTCAATTGTAGTAGAGCAAGACAATATCACAAACTTCAGTAAGGAAGCTATGCACTTAGGCAATTACCAGCATCAAACAAAAGACGACGAAGTGTAAGCAAACAGATTTACACAAAAAATATTTCATATCAATTTATTTTTATATTATGGATACAAAGGGTAGCCAAAACCTATCATCATGCAATTTGGCATCAGTACCATTAACTGAAGAGGATGGGGTTGTCTATATTGCAATCAAAGGTTCTCTTCATGCTAATGACTGTTCTGTTTTTGGCTTAGGAGAGGAGGAAATCAGAGCTCTATCTAAAAAGTATCCAGGATCTGGTGTTGTTGTCAATGGTGTTAGTATAAAAACAAATGTACTTGATGCCATTAATTCTTTGGCACAGCTTGGTTACAAAATCATATCAAGCACTGGTGAGGCCGAGATAACCTGGACTCTCCAGCGTGACACATAGAAATAAAGTTTCTTCTTCTTTCATACAACTGCTTAATATGGATTATGGCAAAGATTGTGACCATTCACAATGCACAAATCCAAATGCATCAGTTTGCCAGACAATATCCGAAATGGACTGGGAAAGGGGCTTGTGGTATGCAGGTATTTTTCATGTTTTATAATTGTGTAATATTAATTTACATTATCTTGATGATCATACTGTGTAGTACAAACATGACATGTGTTTCTCTGATAACATTATCATCTACTTATAGCCTCATAACTAGATCAAAGTTGATGAAATGGAAAAGATTACAAAGATTAGGACTAGTAATTTTTAGTTTCCAATCTTTTCACTTCTTTGTTTTATCTCAATGGTGTCAATCAAAAGAACATTAAAATGCTGATCATTAACCACCAAAAATAAAATTAATTGTAATTTGAATGAACCTTTTAAAAGTTTAATAGTTTATAACTGTGTTACTAGCTTAAAACAATGGCTATTTTCTTAATACAAATGCAACAATAACACAACATTTGCAACAATTCCTTTGCGATGTTTATATACAATAGCTAAATGTTGTGAAAAAAATAAAGCTTTGCCTAAACCACTTAAAATCACTTCTCATTATTTCTGTAGTCAAAACAATAGTATTGTGGTTCTATCCTTAATTACATATCTACATTATTTACAGCATTCTATGGTGATCATCAGAGGGTTGGTGACTTGATCATTAAAGCAAGAAACGCTAAGGAATTAGTAAACACTCCAGATAATGCTGGTTACACTCCTTTACACTATGCAGCACGGAAGGGTTATACAGACATTTGCAAATTATTATTGCAAAACGGAGCACAAATTGATGCACAGACAAAAAGTGGTCAAGCTAGCCCTTTACACAAAGCTGCAGTTGCAGGTAAAGGTTTTAATGTTTAAATCAATACCACAAATAATTAAAATTATAATAAGTATGAAAAGCCGAAGCGTGCAATGGGCTATGTCCAGCAGTGGAGACTGCGATAGGCTCATTATGATGTAGTATAAAAAAAATATAGCTTTGTATAAGCTATCTATATATGTAGTTCCTTTCTTGTTTTCTATGCAACATTGCTAATCTGAGATTAATAATGTAATTTGTTAGCATTATTGTCATTTTTGTGTAGATTTCGTTCTCTAAATATATTAAAATATGTTCATGAACTTTGTTACAGGTAAAATTGAAACAATTCAATTTTTAATCCAGTCTGGAGCTCAAATCAACAAGCAGGATGCTGATGGTCAAACCATTTTACATAAAGCTGCTATAAACAAGCACCTTGATTTGTTTAACTATCTCCTGGAAACGTACAATGAACTTGCCATTGTGAAGGACAACAAAGGTCACACTGCTACTGATTGCATGTCAAATAAAAACAATTGAATGTATGTCTATAATTGTATTACCTAGCTTTTCTTACCTGTAGTAGTAGTATTGTTATTCTTACTCACTATTATATTCAACTCAGAAATGATCCTCTGCAGGACTTAGACTTATGTAATGTTAACTATACCTTGGCCTTCATTCCAGTTTATTTACTTTTATATATTTTATTTTAAAGAATGTTAATGAATGTGTATTTAATTTGTTATATTTATTAGGATTTATCTGTTACTGGCGTTTATATTGAATGATTTATTACATGTTATCAAATACTCCCTACTTTGGTTATTTCAATAGTCATGTATATGATATTTTATAATTATTTAAATGGTATATTTTTTAAGATTAGCATTAAGTTTAAACTTAGAATGAAAGTGTTACTTTTTAGTAAGCAAAGGCGTTAAACTATAATATATCAGTAGCCAGCAGTGTGTTATTTAAGTAATAATAAAAGATAAACACATTTCAATTTTAACACTTTAATGAATAATAATTGTGTATTTTCTAAAATTGTTCACAGTGTTTTCAAAATGTTATACAATCTACACCTTATGACCAGGTTTGGTGTTAATCACTTGAATTTAAATGTTGACAAACATGTAATTAGATAAAATCACTTATTTTTATATGTGTACATTACAATATTAACTTCAACTCGTAGGTGTGTTATCATTTACTCACCCTGTTATAATAGGCATTTAGAGCAACATGGCGTAGCCATTAATCTAAATTTGTGTCATCATATCATTTAATTTTAAATAATACCAATATTACTACAAGAATGTATTAAATAAGTATTAAAACTAGTTTCCTATGTCAATATTTCCGGATTTACTGTGAATATAACTAAGATTATTATTAAACTAATTTAGGTGCTTGACTTTTACTTATTATACAATATCGATTTTTGTAAAAGTCTCAGTACTAGGTTTGTCTAAATTATAATCTTTACATGACTCACAATAGGATTACTAGTTCTAAACATTACTTTGCTTATCATAGTATTGTTTCTTTTAAACATGTTTAATACCACACTCAAATTTTAATTCAAAATCACAAACTAGTTTTATAAAGACAATCAATTTTATTGTGTCACTTAATGTACGTAATACATTATTTTATTCCCTAAGTACACCTTTGTACTCTACTGTTTAGTTTTTTCTAAATAAAAAGTCGTATAGTACTTTAACTATTTTTATTCATAATTATATACATTTTTAAGAACTTATAAACCTTCATCCTCCATCATAAGGAAACCTTTCAAGCTCTTTGGTAAAGGAAGGGATTCTATAAAACGATATAATACTGCATGTCTTCCTATATACCTAACTTTAATTCTACAAATATCACGAAGTGTTAATGGTTGTACGCATACAAAGTTTAACCAATGCACTGTTGAGCAGCTTGGACCGGGGGTTAAAACATAATGGCCTGCCTTCAACAACATTGATGCTAAACTATAGGAACGTCTTCTGGTAGCTATTGACAAGTTGTCCCAACCACACTTGTGCACACCGCAATTATTCACATTTATGCCATAACGTATAAGTAAAACAGCAGCTTTGTCTCTGAAATAAAATTAATAATATTTAAAGTCTGCATTAGTAAAACCTGTATCTCCTGGAACTACGACTAATACAGTTGTTGATGAGATGATATTAAACTCAAGAAATCGCCGCTCCGAAACGAAATTACTCCTTAAACGAATAAAGAGATCAGATGTAAACGGCTTGAATTTATTTACCAGTTTATTCAATCTTATCTACCAATACTAATAGTACAAAAAGCCACTGATTTTGTAGCTGTAACAGTAATATTGTTACTGAACAATATTTAGATGTGAAGGCCAACGATGTAGGTACCTAAGTACTGACTTAGGTACATCATTCGCCTAAACATCTAAAATATAAAAATCAATCAATGATAAAAATGACAGTATATAAAATATGAAAAAAAAAATTACGATTTATCATGATTATTTCCAGATCATTTCGTTACATTGAAAGAGATCTCCGCATCTCTAGAAGTATCTCAGACGTAATTATACGTAAGCTAAGTCATACAAAAGCTGATTCTATAAAATAACTACTTACTTATGTAACAATAGAGCTCTATTGAGAGCCGTATCTCCAGTGAGCGCAGCAGCATTCATATCTATCTTATTATTTAGTAATAATTTCAACAATTCTTCGAAAACTTTAGAACAATACACACTTTCAACAGCAATGTGTAATGCATTTTCACCTGTTATACTGTTGCGTGAGTTAACATTTGCACCTAAAAAATATTCACATATTTGTATATTCCAGGACCAGAAAGCCTATCATCTAACTAAGATCTATCTCAAAGAATCTACATTTTCAAAAATCTGTTAGCATATTATCATTCATCTATAACAAAAAGTGATAATTTACTACAGATAGAGATAGGTTAGGATTCTGGCACCTACCTAGTTAGACCAAAATTCTGAGGAAAATTGTATTACTATTACTAATAGAAAAGAAATATGTTCTAATATAAATAATTATCATCAATAAAAAAACTATATTCTGAATATGACAAAGTTAAATAAAAGAAATACTTTGATGACATTTAATTCCGATTGGTTTTAAAAACTAAAACGTTTAAGTGTTGAAATAAACAAAGAACAAACCACTACCATCGAATAGTGAAAATTATTTGTAATGCCGCACCAGACTTCGTTGTCTTATTCGTCTTATTTGTCCACGTACGACGAAGTGTGGATGGATTATCCGTTTAAATTTGCTTTGTTGTGCACATCAAAGGACACTAATAAGCCAAATATTTGTGTCGACTATCCAGTGTCCAGTGTCCATACTTAATTCACTCGTGTTCGCTGGCTAACGAATCGTCGAGTCGTGTTCATGTCTCGACGTATGCGAAAAATACGCAAATGGTGGACGAATGTATAACTATAGAGATTTTTGGCATAACATCCTGGGCAAAAAATGTTAAAAAGTGAAACTAACGATGCACGGGTTGAAATTCATAATAATAATCTCACACTGCCGTCTGAGTCTAAAATATACTGAAGATATGATGAGCCTGTAACATGGTTACCAGATTGCTGAATACAAATAAATCTAAACAAAAATACAATCTAAATACATACTATAGTGCGGTCGCGAATCAGAAAAAAATTCGTACAATGACCTTTATGCCTACTGCCAGAAGTCAAAAAATATATATTTATGCAGAATATATAGAATACTAGCTGAGACCCGCGTTTGTTGTTATAACCGCGGGCAACACCGCGGGGCGAAGCTAGTCTAAAAAAGTATCTGACAGTGAAAGTCCCGTCGAAATCGGTCCAGCCGTTCCAGAGATTACCCGGAACAAACAGGCAGACAAAAATTGTAAAAAATGTTATTTTGGCATATGTACCGTGTAAACATACATATGCATTTAGTAAAAAGCAGTTATTTTTATATTACAAACAGATACTCTAATTTTATTTATTTGTATAGATAGATGTGTAATTTAGATTATTATATAAGGTAATTACTTTATTATTTTATCAAATTTATACGTACCTAAATACTTTATTCAGGTATACACGAAGTCAACGTTCTGACGCCATATGGTACTGTATGATTCTTAACTGTGATACTAATTACATTATTTTTATTGTAAAATGAAATGTAATAATTATTAATAAAATATAATTTTAAATATGAAAATTTATGCGCGAGGGACAGGATTATAAAAAGTTAATGTACAAACTCCTTCTGCTCCGCCACCGCACTTTATTACAATATTGTAGATAAATTACATCCAGACACAGAACAAATGATCGTGCTTATCACACAATGATTTGGCCTGGATGGGTATCGAACCCACGATCTCTGGTTTAGCAGTCAAGACCTAACCACTAGATCAACCGCCCCATCTTAGAATAAAAAATAATATGGAAGAATGTATGTATGGCTGACAGGTTACTCGTAGATGAATAGATAACTAAGAAAGAAGATAGTCTCTTATGTCAATGGACCGAGGATATAAAACTAAAGTCAAGAAGTCACAAACATCAAGTGTTCGTTTCCTATGACTTGTGATCATCCACCAGCGCTTTTGCGCAGTCTTTTATTAACTTTGTACTTACACAACAGGCATTGGTAAGTTACATTAAAGTAAGAAGTTACATAAAAGCTCCTGCCACAGTCAACACGTCTATTTTGTGTGTAATGATGTTGTGCAAATAACACAATTATTTGTGCATGTTTAGCGCACCGGTACACTGGGTGGATGACAAATTTTAATATTTGAGCGAATACAGCATAACCGAATAACAAATAACACAATGAAGTGTGGTGCAGGCATAACAAATAAAATAATAAAAAATAGTTTACCTTTGCTAAGTAAAATCGTAACGATTTCAGGTTGACACGACCTCGCCGCCAATAACAGTGGGGTATCACCATTATCATTATGTAAATTTATACCCCCGCCGAAATTCGTAAGCAATTTAACTATTTCTCCCTGCAATGGTTAGGAAATCTCACTTAGTAGATATAATTGAATACAATTATAGTTAAGTTTAGGATTCAGACACAGCCTACCTGTCTTTGTATAATAGCATTATGCAGCAGTCTATGGGAATGAGTTATACGAGCACCAGCTTTAAGTAATATTTCTATTAGCACTGAAGACCTTGCCCACACAGCTTCACATAACGGTGTGTATCCTGAAAAACAATTAAGAAAAAAAAATCAACCAACGACAGGGTAAGCACTAAGTAAGTAGTATTATTCCTTAAAAGATCACTTCACACATCTAACACATGTTGGTCTTATCCCAAACTTGGCAGTGCCTGTGCTTTGTAACCAGACTGCTAATGAACATATTTTAATCCAGAGATTCTTAAAGTGGTCAATATCGACCCCTATAAATTAACACAAGTTCTGATTGGAAACTTTCAAGATACTGTAATACTTGTGTTGCTAGTTGTTATAAAAATAACTAATATTTTAGTAGGAAGTATCACTGTTGTACTTTTAAAAAACTCAACAAGTCGATAAGCATGCAGTCAATTGGCTATGGAGGTATGAGGTATCAGTAAATTTAGAAAAGGGGTCCCATGCCCAAAATAGTTCGGGAATCCCTGCTTTAATCTTTCTAAATACGTCCATATTACAGATAAATTACATCGAGACACAAAACAAATGATCATGCTTATCACACAATATTTGTCCTGGGTGGGACAACCTTCAACCTTTGACAACCTTCGGTTAATGAGTCACTAACCACTAGATAATTTTGATAATTTATAGTTATAAGAAAAATTTTTGTAACTTGGAGAAATTAATTAATATTTGAATACCGTGGATCTCTTCACCATTAACATTGGCACCAATAGAAATAAGATACTTGACTACATTCACGTGGCCCCTGACAACTGCTAGATATAAAGCTGTCCGTTCATTGGTATCTCTGGCTTCTAGAGAAGCACCACCATCAACTAGAATTTTTACCTGGAAAAATTTATACTTTTAAATCTATACAAATAAATAAAATTGGAGTGTCTGTTTGTAATATTAAAATAACCGCTTTTTACTAAATGCATGTATGTTTACACGGTACATAGGCCAAAATAACATCTATACAAATAAATAAAATTGGAGTGTCTGTTTGTAATATTAAAATAACCGCTTTTTACTAAATGCATATGTATGTTTACACGGTACATATGCCAAAATAACATTTTTTACAATTTTTGTCTGTCTGTCTGTTTGTTCCGGGTAATCTCTGGAACGGCTGGACCGATTTCGACGGGACTTTCACTGGCACTGACTAGCTTCGCCCCGCGGCGTTGCCCGCAGTTATAACAACAAACGCGGGTAACACCGCGGGTCTCAGCTAGTACATAACAAGAATACAAAACAGTTCTTGTTACTTATATTGCACACGAGTAGGTATACCACTACCAAAAAACGGTAAGCATTTTATACTAGGTACCTACTTTATAAATATTTTGTGATAATTAAAAATGAATTATTTACATAATTACACGAATAAGGTGTAGTTAATTATAAACTTTCGCATTCCGTGCTATATGTGTACATACACAGAAACGTGCACTGGTCCTGGCCATAGGCTGGTCTGTTAGACAATGCAACATAGGTAATCGAAATATTAGGTAATTCAAAGGTATATAATACCTGTTATGTAACCGAGTTACGGTTCCTGTATGTACATAATTACATATATTATAAATATACGTTCAATAGTAGACTTACCGCCTCCAAAAATCCTCTTGCAGCAGCAAAATGAAGGGGTATCATTTTTTCATGTGTCTTATAGTTCACCTGGCTTCCTGCCTTTAACAAAACCTTCACTATTTCTATATGATTTTTTACAACAGCTACATGGAGCGGTGTTAAACCATCACCTGCAGCGATATCTACTTTACATCCTGAAATTTAAAAAATATTGCAAACAATAGGTAAATAAAGTTACTCCATATGTGTGGTCTTAAAAGTGGCTTATGTTTAACTTAAAATAAGATATAGTCAAATTTCACTTTTAAAGAACACTATCAGGCCAAAAATTGTAATTGATCACCAAAATAATATTACTTACGATTGTTGAGGTTATATATCGAACTGAAAGAAAGGTGCGGGCGGAACTCCTACTTTAAGGGTGGTTTAAAAAGAAATAACCATGCGTCGCTTCGCTTCCGCCACAGACCTTGTAATCTAACCTGTCCATGTAGGGGTGGGTGGCGTGCGTAGGAGATTGTGGAAGTAGCGAACATTTATTGTGTTATTCAAGCAAGTCTCTACCTTGTGGCTTGTGGTTAAAGAATAAAATACAATTCCAATAATATTATTCTTAAAATTTTAACAAACTTAAAAAGTCAGAAAGTCAGTCAAAAGTCATTCAGCATTAAATGCTGAGATTTGGTTAACATTTATTACATTGGGTCTTTGAATAAATTTAAAGTGCAGGCATGACTAAAACAGCTAGAACCCTTAGATTATTTATAATAATCTAAACTAGAACCATTGTAATTTTTTGTTTGCACATATATATTTTTTTTATGTTCAGTATATTTTTTTGACAAGAGAGCGCGCAAATTATTTTTGTTGGTTCAAATCAAGAAAATTTTAAGGGGATTAAATATCATTATATTTAATCTAAGGGGATTAAATATAGTGATATTTAATTCCCTTAAAATTTTCTTGATTTGCAGTTTCCATTAATATTTATAACACATAGTATCTTCTTGTTTACCTAACAATGTAAGTGAATTTACAAATTTATGTACATATGTATATAAATATTTAGAGATTGTTCTTCACCTAATAAGAGCTGTGTTAATCTTCATTATAATTTCAGTGCTTATTTCAATAAGGTAAAAATACTGTGAAATCACTGTACCTTATAATTTGAAATATAATGAATAAATGTAGAAAAAATGCCATTACCAGCTTCTATTAGTAATTTGACCGCATTAAGATGATTTTGTTCTGAAGCATAATGAAGAGCAGTTCTCATAAATGCATCTTGTTGGTCAATCCCATTACTGACTACTGAGGCAGACGCTATAGCTGCCCCAGTTGACTCAAGTATTGCTGCATACCATCTGAAAATATATTTAGTATTTCTGAAATTTATTATACACAAACAACCAAGTTTGAATACCTGAGTAAAGAATAAGTTAAAATACAATTGCTGACAGTATACTTGATAAGGGCAGTGATTAACACAGAGGGAAATAGTCTTAGAAGGAAAAGTCCAGTTTATGATATAACATGAATAGACTGGGCTCATAGTATGTGTCCCTTTTTCCTCCATTTTCCAACAAATAAAAGTATATCCTTGTCAAATCTATATCATAAATCTATACCTATATAAATAGATCAGCAAAAAAGTTTATAATCATTGTCTCTAATTTTTAGCAATCAATCAATTTATTACTTTTGGTTTTCTGATTAAATATTGTAGAAGTTTGTGATATTATTTAAAAATACCTAAATCATAATTTTGCTGATGTGTTAGGGTTGAATTAAATTTATTTTACTTTAAACATTAATAAAATTACTAACTTATACATTGATGACCATGTCTCATCTTCACTAGTAGTTGGTGCAACATTGCCTATTTCTTCATCCCATTCTAGATCAGCTTGTGGTGATGGTGTTAATAAAGTGGGGCTCAAAGGAGACTTCAAACTACCAATTTTACTTTCATCACTACTAGACCCCTCACTATGTATAAAAACAAAGTAACCCTGATTTTTGTCTGTCTTTCCATTATTATCTATTATTTCCATCATGTCATAATGTCCAAACTTGTAATCTTTGAGAGTTCGGTCATTGTGATTTTTACATTTTACTACAGTCTCCTCATGTCGCCCATAGTGCTTTAGTTTCCTCTTATGACACTTAATATGCCTTTTTCTTGTAGTGACATTGAACGGAGATACTTTTTGTGTTGATGATGTTTGATTAACAGATAAGAGTATTTTTAAAATATCAACATTACCCATACTAGCAGCCTCTCCAAGACATGTTTTACCTTGTTTAACAGTCTTGTTTGGATTAGCACCTGCAATAATATTGCATAAATGATTATGAGTAACCAATTAGTTAAACTTTTCACCGAGTGAGTGAAGTTACCAGAGGGCCTACCCTAATTCTGGAGGAAGGCCCTCAAAGGGTGGCAGCGCATCTGTCTCTTGGTTGTAGGTGTCCACGGGCAGCAATAATCACTTACCCTCAGATGACCAATCTGCTAGTTTGCTGTCTAAATTATATGTTTATATTTAAATTTACATTTTGCACTTTTAGGCATGACGTCAGTGCCATGCCTAAGAGTGTGAAATATTCAAAATATTGTATGCTCAATGGAGTAAATGAAATAAAACTCAAAATAAATAAATTATAGTTGACTTTTATGTAACATATATATATATTTATATAAGTTATAAAGTTGATGTCCTTGTGCCTTGAATCAGATTTACAAAGCAAGTTTTTAAGCTTAGTAAATTATTACTTAAGTTCACGTGAAAATCTGTAGTTCAAATAAAAATTATTTACTAATAATAAAATTTAGTCTACTCATTCTAATATTTACCTTTAGAAAGGACCTGTGAAATAGTGTCATAATTTTCTGCTAATATTGCTTGATATAGGGTATCTTCCAGATGAAGATCCATGTTTTTTTTAACTTAGGTTTATAGGCTAGTGCATAATCGTAATTTTTCTAATAATGATATTAGGAGCATTTTCTTTTACATTACTGCTGCTATATTTTCAGTGATTACAGCTAAAAATAAGTAATGAATGAATACAGCTTGTAGTTTGTTTATGTACAATACTAATTTGTATGACATTTCTGATACCTACTATGTCAAATTGTCAATCAAACCGCATATACCTACACAGGTACAGCGCATATTTACGTTACTGCTGGATCAACTTATTACATCGCGTATTATTGAATTTAACTCAACTTGGATTCTCCTTAACACGAGTTTGGGCTTAACGTACTCAAACGAATTTACAAGAGATTTTTGAAATATGTAGACTTGATCTCGCTTGCTTTATTGTTTTAAACGATGTTGTTGTTTGTTTTGTTTGTTTTCGAAGTTGGCTTAGCGTGAAGGAGTGAAAATGCAGATTATTGCAGCTTATCGTCATCGATTGTCGTCGCTAATTAAAGTATTTTATTGCTACGATTCTGTTGCGTTTGTAATGCGTTTCTATTGCGACGATTAATCGAATAGAATCTATAATATAAACGCAAAAAAAAACATGTTAGTTACCAAGTCTACTAACAGAACAATTTTGTCACAAAGTTGATAAGTAAACTGGCGATATTAGGGAGGGTATGGAGGAGTCACAGTGCTGGCTTTAATTGACTTCTACTGGCCATCATTTCCTGTCTTATGATCTCCTCCTTTTGTTAAAATTAAATGTTAAGTAAAGTAGGCTGGATATGGCGGACATCCCACCAGTTGCCTACAACAACATAATTAAACCTCTGAGTTAAGTGGGAAAGAAATGGAGTTACATTTTGACTCGACACTTGATTGACGAACACAAGTTACACACGTAAGCTTATGCTCATTACGCTAATTCACTTAATCGACTATGATTTGTGTTATTTGACCTGAATGCAGACCTCAATAAATTAAATAACTGCATTCGATTCGTTTTTAATCGTCGAAATTATAAAGAGATTTTACGTTCCCGGCTGCAATCACTACCAATATGTCAGCGTATCTACAAGCGCTCCATCATTCCCTGAATACTTTTTTTACCTAACTATTATGAACTATGATTAATTTAATATTTTATCTTTGCACTTATCGCATCGTATTTCTACATAACCTGGGAGACTGGGAAAGAATGTCTCATGGCATTCATATTTCTTCTCTCAAGACAAGATAATCATCAATGTATAAGTTACGCAGCCTTCTCAGAGATCCGTCAGAAGCAAACAGTTTCTTACTGACTTCTTGTAATTAACCCCAGGGCAAGTTTTTATCGAAGTGAATTCCCAGATTTTTATGTTCGAGATCGAAACTAAGGCTCCATATTATCCAGAATATTTGGGGCTGATGTGACCAATCGACTTTAGATAAAGTCCTATTGCCACCGATTATGATTGCTTGTGTTTTAGATGGATTCACTATTAACCCGTGTTGAATGCTCCATGTACAAATCCACTAATACTGTAGTATGAGTGTCAAAGTAATACTGTACTCTGTGACAGAGGCTAGGCTACTGTCATTCTGTCATTCAGCCATTGCCGGATATTATAATATATTTGTTGTTTGTTAATTATATTTGTGATTTATCAAGAATTTATTTCTTTTTGTAAAATTGTGTGTTATTCAACAAAAACTAAAACATCAATAATGTCTAGCACATCACAAAAACACAGAAATTTCGTGGCCGAACCGATGGGAGAAAAACCAGTAACGGATTTGGCGGGCGTTGGTGAAGTCTTGGGTAAAAGGCTTGAAGTAGCAGGATTCGACAAAGTAAGTTTCTAGAAATATTCGTGCTACTCTGTATACAACATGCGTATTATTTATTCCGTATATTCGTTTTGATGTTTGCTTTTTTATTTATTATCAAGTGTTTTGTGAATTACTGGCTATTGGTGGTTGATTCATAATCAACTAAAACATATAACCAACCATACATACTGAATGTTTTCGCATGGTTTGGTACAATTTAAAAGCCTAAAAATGTGTACATCTGGCATATGTGGTTATCTTGCACTTTAACTGTGCAAAGATAATAAATGATAGTTGATATCTAATTTCCTATTATAGTACTTACAGTGTACTTGGTGTTAAAAAGGTTATAATTTGGTTGTCTAGTTGATATGAGATAAATATTATAGTTATTCTATTACATATGGTTTATGTATTTACTAAGTTATTTTTTTCTTCTCTTGTAGGCTTACACAGTGTTGGGTCAATTTTTGGTGTTGAAAAAAGAAAAAGAACTGTTTCAAGAATGGTTAAAGGACACATGCAATGCAAATTCTAAACAGTCATCGGATTGTTACCAATGTTTAAAAGATTGGTGTGATGAATTTTTGTAATAACGATAAATATTTTGATAATTACATACATAAGATAATGTAAATAATATATCTATTAATTTGTAATTACACATAAGCTATAGGTTATACCTATATTTTTTTATGTAATTTTTCATATATAAAAATAGTACAAGCTTAAATGTGTTTCCATAATTCTACATAAATTTTGCTTTAAACACCTGTGTACTATTAGTTTTTGTGTTTAGTAATAATCTGTCTTCATATTCTATATTCATGTTTTCTTAAGATTTAACTGTGACAAATAATTTCTGAAAGGTATGTATACTAATGTAATTTTATAAATATTTTTCTTTTATTTTTTACCCTTAATTATTAATCTCTTTGTCAGGTTATTCTTTAGCCAACCAATATATTGTAATTAATCTTAGAACTCTGCTATCTAAGTTCTAAGATGTTAAGCCCAAGAAGTTATTTAGGATAAAGTAGTAAACAACACTGCAGTCATTGTTTTGTCCAAAACTATGAAACTAAGATTAGAATTATTGTAGTACTAAACCTTAAGAATTGTAGACTGTTATAACAATTTAGTACAAAGATAACAAAATATCAACTGAATTTTAATTGAAATGAAATGGTTGGCTCTGCTGCAATGCTGGGGATATTTCAAATTTCTGCCTACCCATTTAATATAAGTATATTTTAAATCTCTAAAGCCACCCACCTATAGAACTCAACAGAACTTGAAAAGATCCTTATTCAAAGTTATACAGTTGATCAAAATTAAAAAAAGAAGGGTTGATTTTCCATCAGTTAATAGTCACCTAATTATTTATTATTGACCGTCAGCGTGGCGTAGGCCAAAACCTCCTTTCTAAGGAGAGGCTTATGTCCAGCAGTGGACTATTAAAGGCTGTTGATGATGATTGATGATGATGGTCAACTTCACACTGAGAAAGAATAATAATAATAATATTGTACCACATTCACACAACACCATCTAGTCCCAAACTAAGCAGAGCTTGTACTATGGGTACTAGACAACTGATATAAATACATATATACTTTTTTTTTGTAAATACATACTTATTATACATAGAAACACCCAGACCAAATCAAACATTAAATGTTCATGCACACAAATGTTTGACTTGAGCGGGAATCGAACCCGCGACCTTTGGAATAGCAGTCCGTTACACAAACCACTACGCCATTCGGTCAATCATGCTTAAACATAGTGAAAAAGGCTGTAATATACCATTCAGATGGAAATAGTACCTTACATCTTGTGGAAATGTGCCAAAATGGTTGGCTATGCTGCATGAACCTCCTGTACACACCTATTGTAAGGGCCAGCTTCATACATAACATGGCATGTCGAAATGTAGATATCCTGTTCACCACCAATGTCACTAAAATGAAAAGGATCATGTAGAACCTAGCTCTTAGTTCTCCAAACAATAAAATAGAGATAAATGATTGACGAGGTAGAATTAATCTCTATAATAATTAGTCTTTTTTTTCAGCCGAAACCGAACTTTCGGCCCTTGTTTTAGTTTCGGCCGAAACCGAACTATCATTTTAAAATTTCGAATGTACCTATAGTGAAATCTAGTGTATTCCGCCCCCACCCAACCAAAAAATAAGCATTTAAATATGGACTTAACATCGTACTCTGTACACGCACTTTACAGTAACAACAAAAAAAAGAGCGCTCGGGAAACGACCTTTGCCACTCAATAGTTGTCGTGTCGCGTACCGCACGCTTCAAGAGAGCTGCCCGCGCGCTGTGAGCACGGCTCTTGGATTTCTAGAGTTTTATCTATGAGCACGGCGTCTGCTCGCTTGAAATGTGCTAACTTAGGATGGCATAAAATCACAATGACCTGACATGAATCATATCATTTAAAAATCACTGACTGACACCAATCATTTCATCAAATGAATATGATTTAAAAGTAGCAATAATTTCCATGACTAGTGCTGACGGACGCCGAATGTGCCCGGGGCCAGGGAGGCCACCGCCATAGAGATAGTATAAGAAATAGAGCATGCAAGGAAAGCCTCACCGTATCTCACGGTGCGAGAGATGGTTGCACGCAGACGCCCTCTCTATCTCTTTCTTAATTCTCGCACATGCGCAGTAACGTTAATAATAATCATGAAGTAAGAGAGAGATCTCTCTCGCACCGTGAGACACCTTAAAGCAATGAGAATGGTCGGATCTGCGTGCTCTATTTGTTATATGATCTCTATGACCACCCCAAGCTCTTTATCTGCTTATACCTACATACCACCTAAAACCACTGTAATAAGAGAGACACACGGCATTAATTCTAAGTAAGAGAAAATGTATTTATGAAGGCAGATAAAAAAACGTGAACGAGCCAGGTACCGCAGACGACTCAGGCGCCGGAGGTCGCAGAACGACCTCCGTCCTCCATAAGTGCATGCCTGGGGTTGACAAGTGAGGCCAACTGTCACCCTAGCTGAGGCAGACCAGGGTGGCGACGAGACGCGTTGCGGAGCGCGCGCGTCCTTTCGGGAGCACAAAGAGAACATGGGGGTTCCCACAGAGGAGGGGGTCATCTACCCGCTGTAGATGGCCCGAGGTACGTCGGGGTACCAGGGCTTTCCTTTCTAGGGTACACCGGGTTCCCCGGCTACTGGTACCCGAGACGGCGTGCGGTTTTGAGTCGGTTCGAGTCCGACATAGTCACCGATGGGTGGTATCCGAGAGGATTTCCGCACAGAACAAAAAAGAAAAAAGGCGTGGGGCAAAATTAAGAACACTATGCAAATGATTGGAGTTTAATATTCTATTTACTTCTAATTTTTTCATAGTTAAAGTTAAGCAACTGAAGATTACATGTAGCATAAGTGCATGTTGCATGGTTAAAAATGGTAAAATAGAGGTACAGAATGTAATTGAACTGAATGGAATTGAAATAACTAACTATCTATAAACAAATATGTAGTATATCTAAGGTTTGTATTACAAAATAATACTTAAAATTCCAGAAACGCCCGTTAGTTTTCGCCTTATATAACTGCTCTCAAGCGTTTCTTGAGTTTTGAGAAACGTTATATTTTACGGATTTTTTTTTGTTGACGGGCAAGAAATTCCCTTCGGATCTCCTGCTCCTTGAGGACTCAGGAACCAGGAGTATGTGGTGATTCCTCTAAAAACCACCCCAACGGTCGGCCTCAGGTCCCCCTCAGGCCCTACTCTGGGAGGACCCGGACCATGTTATTTCAGGTCCTCCCCGCATTGACACCATGCCTAATCAGGCTATATCCCAGGGGAAAAAACACTCCCCACGCCCACGCCCACGCCCACGCGGGGCAGTCTTCCAGCGTGTGCTGGACGGAGTCCCAGTCGGCTGTTCAGTGCTGGCATTGTGTCGTCTCTTCGCGTCCGATACGAACAGGTACTCACTGGAGCAACCATGCCCACTGAGTACCTGCGTCAGTCGATAGGTGAAGCGACCTCCCTTCCTACTTACCCAAGCTACGACTTTGGTCAGAACAGTACCGACAGCGCGTTGACGTGCATTCTGCGGATGTTCCAGTTGCACGTGCCAATGCGTTGGTGAGCGTTCCGCCGCATTTCGAGCTCGTCCTGGCTCCTCTAGGATATCAAGAGGCGGGAAACGTGCCAGGACTGTCGCCGCCTCCGACGAAATAGTGCAGTATCCTTGTACGATCCGAATGGCCGCTACCCGCTGCGCTTGACTGAGCTTAGCTCGGCAGCGGGAGAAGGCCGATAGGCGCTTGGCCCATATCGGCGCTCCGTAGAGGATCATGAATCGTATCACCGTACAGTAGAGGTGGCGAACTTCCTCCCGCGGACCCCCTAGGTTAGGCAGGTTAGCCTCTGCAGGGAGCCCGACAACCCACTAACTCGGAGGATCATCCGTTCGAAATGCTCCTCGAAGCACCAGCGACTGTCTAGGATGAGGCCAAGGTATTTAATGTTTTGGACAACCTCGACCTCTGTTCCCCCACTCTAATAAGTGAGCGGGTGGGAACTGCAATTCTGCGTTTCCTGGGGAACCACAAGGCTGCCGTCTTATGAGGCCCTTAGTCCCAGACCACTGATGTTTTGGACGACACAAGCCACCTCTATCTCGGCGAGCTCAAGGACCTACTGGAAGCCATGCCCCCTAGCCAGTACTAGAGTATCGTTTGAAGGGAGTTTATTTTTGAGGGAAGGCTGGCCCTCAGAACGGCATCATACGCGAGATTCCACAGAAGGGGTCCTAAGACCGACCCCTGGGGACTCTCGCATGTAACTTCCATATACGATATGAATCTGTCGCGGAGATAGACCCCGATGATGTCTGCCCACCACCGTGAGTTGAAGGCGTTGACTAAGTCAAGACTGACGGCCAACGCAACTCCCCCCCGATAGACAACCTCTTCCGACAAGTAGCGGACGCGTTCGATCGCGCGGAATCCAAATTGGTTGTCTGATAAGTCGGGGCCAACTCGCGATAGATGCTGGTTGATACGGGCGGTGATAACTCTTTCAAAGAGTTTCGCAACCTCGTCGAACGCCGACTCAGCCTATTCCCTGAGACCGCTAAATCACATATGTCAGTCAATGATGACACGGAACCAGGCAGCCTGCGCTTCTGGATCAGATAAGACCTGTACTTCCTCTTCCTCTGACTAATCCGCGACGAGCATATCTCGGTTCAACCGCTTTAGGTCCCATCGTCGTGGAGGATAGCTACTGCGGCGGTCCGCGGCTGCACCCGGGTGGAGGATAGCCACATTGAATACGATATGGCGGTGGTCCGATAAAGTGCTCCCTCTTCCGTCACCCTCCATCCTGATACCCGGTCGATGACCAAGGGAGTCTCCCATGTCAGGTTGACGATCGACTCCCCCTGCCACTGCACGCAACCGCTTACTCGACGAGTGTATCTCCTCTTACGTTGTCTAGGCGATCACCCCACTGTGTGGAGCGGGCGTTGAAATCGCCCAAGACAAGTACTGGACGAGACAGGAAAGTGCAAATGCAACTCCTAAGTCATCTCATTAAAGATATTGAGTTCGTGTTATAGTTAGACTTAAAATAACGTTCGGATCCAATGTACATATCTCTTAATCTGTGGTTTCAACTCTCACCATTGACAACTCACAAATTGTTTTTTTTTCTCTTTGGCTGGCATTCCTCTTCCTTATAAATCTGGTCTACATTTCGTTAGCAGTCTGTGGTCTATTTATTTTTGGAACTGAAGTCCGTGAAAATCGAGGATATTGCGTTTTTTTTGTACGTTCAATATCATTAAAATTTTATAAGTGCTAAGAGTGCTTTTTACACATATATCTCAGAAAGTTCTTATGTGTTGATACATCACATAACGCCAGTGTTACAGGTGTTGTAAATTGGACAATTTGATCTGACAACAAGACTTCCTGTTATTCTGTAAAAGTATGAGTTATCACAAAAAATACTTCTTGTGATATTCGCACCTTATCTTGTATTAAGAATTAAAAGTGTAAGAGACGATCACATTAAGAGCTACTACTCTCGTTAAGAGCTAAATCTATCGCAGTTTATATACTCAACTGCCTAAATGTATTTCGGCCTTTCGACGTTAATAACATTATAATTTTTTTTTAGAAAACATATCATGGTTCCAAAAAATAAGTAAAATGTCAACCGAAAATTGCTTGGTGAAAGCAATATACTCATTCAAGGGTAAGAATAATGACGAGCTATGTTTCAAGAAAGGCGATATTATTACTGTTACACAAAAAGAAGAAGGAGGCTGGTGGGAGGGAACATTAGGTGAAACCACAGGCTGGTTCCCCAGTAACTATGTTACTGAACATAAAGGTATGTTTATTTATACCTGTAGTAGCAATATTACAAATATAACTTATTAATATGTACTAAAATGTTATGATATATCCAGTAGAATATATTTCTATATAAGAATATATTTATTATGAGAAGATAGAATATATTTATTATGTTGTGTTGTATTTGTTTTTGGGTAAGAAACTAATTTCTAGTGTTATAATTGCACGGATGGCGTAGTGGTTTAAGCGGTCGCCACGCCGCTTCCTACTGCGCCGAGTGTTGTGGGTTCAAACCCCACATGGGACGACACTTTGTGTGATCCACAAATTGTTGTTCTGAGTCTGGGTGTTCTTTGTGTCCGTTTCATATATGTTTGTAAAGTCCCCCGCGACACAGGATTTATTCCTAATGCAGGCGTGTTCTTTTCAAAAAAAAAAAAAAAAAATATTATGATCTGTCTATTCTATTATTAGATAGATTTATGATTTCATTATAGGTAAAAATCAATTAAAAAGCTAATTTTGCTAAATAATCAAGTTAAATTATCAGATACAGGTATTTATACCCCTGGAGGAAAGTTTTTAATATTGATTTATAAATATTTAGTAAAACATTAGATTTCATCACTGTGTTCAATTACAATTATTGATTTAGAATAAATACTACATGAACAGTTCTTATGAATCATGATTACTATTATTAAGTGAAAGTATTTATCATACAGTTGTATAAGGTCTTACAGGACATGTATTATGATTATATTATTATTTACTAAATCTAAGTAAATAATAAATTTAATATTATTTTAGTCAGTTTTTCAAACAAATTACTAAAAGAAAATATTGGACACAGTGTAGATGATGTTGTTTAATTTAAACAAATCAAAAAATTCACTGAAAAATCATTGAGAAGAAGTGTTATTTATGTTCTAGAGGCTTAATGGCTAGTTATAATAGTAATTAATATTTTATTTTTATTGAACAGCTCTTCACAAGTTGCAAACATTGGTTCAAGTACTTAGAATCTAAGACATTCCATTACATGTTACAAAGAAAGAAGTATGAGTAAACAAAAATAGTAGAAATTACTGACACTATACAACATTTGTAGATCCATCAGGTTCTGTCACCACATCACCAATAAGAGCGGCTTCAGAGATACAAGCCTTTAGAAATGTGGTCCTTAAAGATATAATAGATTCTGAAAAGGCTCATGTTGCTGAGATGCAAGGTCTTGTAAGCAATTTCTTACAACCCTTGGAGAACAGTGATATGTAAGTATAATCACGTAAAGTAGGTATGAGATTCTCAAAACAGAATAAATGTTTTTGGTAAGAATAGTTTATAAAGGTGTAGAATTTATGGTAGATTAATAAGGAAACAGTAATATCAAACTTAACTTTCCAAAAAAATATAAAATAGCCTTCATAGTTTAATATTATTTCAATGATTCTGTTATAAGGCAGAAACAGTGGTAGTAGGTTTAACATGTTGTAGGCTTAACGTGGCCATGCTTCGGCAAAAACGGGCCGGCTCGAATGGTACAATACCATAGCCTTGCAGAAAACTGGTCGTAAAGCAATTTCACCGAGTGAGTGAGGTTTCCGGAGACCAACCCCCCCCCCCCCCTAAACCCCCCTCCCCCTAAACCCCCCTCCGCCTCATGATAGCGCCGTTGAAAAATAATCTACCCCAGGGGGGTACCAGCTGCGTTAGCATTGGAGAATCCCCCTCTGGACGTCCACGCTCAGAACACCATACGTCTGGGCGTGGATGTCTGGGCTGCCCCGCGTATTCTGAGGGGGAGGGCGCAACAGCGCTCGACAGGATATCTACCCGCGGCGGGAGCACGCACATCAGGCCACCCCTCGCCACGCTTGACGTGAATTTTTTGTAACATAAGGGGCCTTCACTCCAACCTCAACGATGTCCACCACCACCTCGAGACAGTGAAGCCGGCCTTGCTCTTTCTAACCGAGACGCAGATATCATCTCCATCGGACACCTACCTATCCTACCTCTCCTACCGTGGCTATCATCTGGAACACTCCTTTGTTGCTAGGCCTGGAGTGTGCGTGTGCGTTCGAGGTGATATTAGTTCTCGCCGCCTCAGCTATCTTTAAGGACGGGACCTTTCCATCTTGTGGCTCCGTGTAGACAGCGACGACCATCCCCGCGTCTACGCATGCCTCTACAGGTTCCATAGCGATGACACCGAAACTGACCGACTGATGGACCACGTCAAATGGCTACAGATTCCGTGCTGCAGCAGATCCTTTCCGCGGAGATCGTGATACTTGGCGACTTTAACGCTCACAACGCCGAATGGCTTGGCTCACGCAAGACCGATCACGCGGGGAGATCTGTTCTCGATTTCGCCCTGACCTGTGGCTTGTCACAACTCTCAGAATAGGGCACGCCTCTGGCGCCCTCAGAGGATATTGGCGGTTAGAGCCATACGCGTCGTGCGCATTGGCCGCTACTCTCTCGTAGGATTTGGAGGCGAAGGTGCTCGCCGAAGTATATCGGCGGACGACTGAGTTCCGGCGGTTAGCGGCAGTAGGCCGAAGAGATACGCGAGTGGCGTGAGGCCGCTCGTCGAGCCACGATGGCTTGGTCGTCCCGGCTGGAGGCTCCACGTGCTGGCTTTGCCGCCGTGGAGCCTAAAGCGGGTAAGTAGCACACCGTGTGGATTTAGTCGGTCCGATTCCGACACACCACCCCGCCGCAAACCCCAGTAGGGTGACGGCCCGAAGGGGTTTCCACACGAAAAAGAAAAACAATGGTTTGTCACAACTGGTATCAACGCCCACGCGAGTTCCGGATGTGGAAAGTCATGAGCCTTCACTTTTGGACCTTCTGCTGACTTCCGATCCGGACGGTTACAAAATCGCCGTTGAAGCCCCACTTGGCTCCTCGGATCTTTGTCTAATCCGCAGTACAGTGCCACTCACGTGCTTGCCGCGGCTGCGAGTTGCAGGCTGCCGCCGTGTGTGGCACTGTAGGTCAGCGGACTGGGATAGGCTGCGTTCCTTCTTTGCGTCCTACCCATGGCAGATCTGTTTCTTGCCGGATGATCCCACCGTCGTTGCCGATTCTGTCACTGATGTAGTACTTCAGGGCATGGAACTATTTGTTCCTTCTACATTAATTCCCATCGTTGGCAGATCCAAGCACTGGTTCGACAGATCCTACAAAACGGCGTCCCACCGAAAGCGGTAATGCTACCAATCAGGGGAAAATGCAGCGACGGCAGGCGATGTAAATACCATCACGCTAAAAAAAAAAAAACTGCCTACAGGTCCCTTAAAAGAGCCATTGCTAGGGTGAAATCGGAGCACATCAGCCGGATCGGTGAGAGACTATAGGCCGACCGTTTATCTGAGTCCTCGCCTAACAGCGAGTAACAGGGGTAGCGCGGTAACAGGGGCGCGGGGGTATGACGACAAAGGGGGCTGAGACAGGTGCGGGCGGCGGGCGAATTTTTGTAATCGCTCATTTCGATCGCAACGCGGACAGCGATCGCACGTGTTAATTGTTGCGGACGCCTTGTGATACACATGTGATAACAATCTCAAGATGAATCGTAAGATCTTCGGTCATAAAGTGAATAGTCAGTGAAACTGGAACAGAAAAAAGAAACTGGACCCAAATTCTGTTGAATATCAACAAGACATACATTTAAACAAAACCGTAGCAGAAGTTACTGGACTATCGGAAAAGACTGTATCTAGAATCGTACATCAAGGGAAATTATTGAAAGACAACGAAAGATTCAAATCACCGAAAAAATCAAAACAGGTTCGCAAAAAAAGAATAGAAATAGACGATTTCACAAAAGGAGTGGTAAGAAGAAAGGTCACTCAGTTTTATACAATTGATAAAAAAATACCTACTCTGAAAACGTTGAATGCTGTACTTAGAGAAGAGAATATATTACACTGCGGAAGGGAATATTTAAGGCTGTTGTTACCATGACATACATACATGACGTATGTCATATATAGTTTAAAATTTAAGAAATGCGGTTCTAAAAAGAAACTCCTTATTGAACTGCCAAATATAACATCGTGGAGGTGTAAATACCTAAGGACTATCAAAAAATATCGTAGAGAAGGAAGACATATTTTATATCTTGACGAAACATATGTAAATGAGCCTCACAACGTTTCAAAATGCTGGCAATCCAAGGATGTACATGGCGTACTATCTCATATTGGAAAAGGGAACCGTTTGATCATCGTACATTGTGGAGGTCAAACTGGATTTGTAGACGGAGCACTTGTGATATTTCAATCCAAATGTAAAACAGGTGATTATCACGATTCTATGAATTTCGTGAATTTCAGTAAATGGATAAATGAAAAGCTAATGCCCAATATACCACCAAATTCCGTCATCGTGATGGATAACGCAGCTTACCATTCGGTTCGAGAAGAAAAAAGCCGACTATGGCTTCTACCACGGCAGTTATGCAAACATGGTTACGACGACACGACGTGGTTTTCGATGATAAGCTGAAAAGGGACGACTTATCAAAATTGATTAAAAAGACAGAAACTGAAGATATTTATAAAATTGACGAGTTATTGAAAAGAAACGGGCATGAAGTGTTGCGTTTGCCTCCTTATCACCCAGACCTGAACCCTATTGAGTTGGTTTGGGGTGACATTAAGGGGCAATTAGCACAAAAAAGTGTGGACTCTAATCTAGACCAAAAAAAAACTATGTTAGAGGGATTATTTGCTGAATATTCTGCACAGAGGTGGGAGCATTGTGTTAACCATGTACATAATTAATATCGAGGACGAGTACTGCAAACATGATGGAATTCGGGATGATGCTGTTGATTTTATTATTAACACTCTGGACGACTCTGATGAATCCGATGATGACTCCTTCGAAAGTGAAGAACATATGAATATGGACATAACTGATTGAAATATAATTTTAATGATTATTCTATATAATAAATAGTACAATAGTTTATTACCAAATATTTTATTTACGTACCTTCATAGCTTTTAGTTAGTAAATTAAAATTTTGTATTATCATTAATAATTTTTCATTTAATAAATCACAATTTCTTTACTATGACGTCGCATATTAAGATATGCGACGAAATGCGCCAAGATAGTTCCTAAGGGAACTATCTTGGCACATTTCATCTCGTGTGTATCTCACTAAGCGCCCCCGCCGCCCGCACCTGTCTCAGTCCCCTTCGTCGTCATAGCCCCGCGCCCCTGTTACCGCGCAGGCGAGGACTCAGATAAACGGTCGGCCTATACTGAGACTTCCTTCTGGAACTCGTGCATTCTGGTCTCTTGCCAAGGCGGTCCAGGGGGAATTTCTGTAGCCAATCCTTTCCACCCCTGCAGATAGGAGATAATTCGTTGGCCTATGATGCCAAGGAGAAAGCTGATCTCGTAGGCAAATTCTTTGCATCCAACTCGACTTTGGATGACGGGGGAAACGTGCCGCCGACCATACCGCGGTGCCAGAGCTATATGTCGGATATCCGGTTCACACAAGAATCAGTGCGTGAAGCACTCTTTTCTCTTGACATTCATAAGTCGTGTGGTCCCGATGGAATTTCTATCGTGTTGGAGACGTGTGCTCCTTAGTTGGCACCGGTTTTAACGCGCCTTTTTCGTCTCTCCTACTCCCAAGGCGTCGTCCCGAACTCCTGGAAGGTAGCGTTTGTGCACCTGTTCCTTAAAAAAGGTGACCGCTCTGACACGTCCAACTTCAGGCCTATAGCCATAACTCCTTTGTTATCTAAGATTATGGAATCCATAATCAACAGCCAGGTCCTCCGGTACTTGGATGATCACCAGCTACTCAACGACCGACAATATGGTTTTCGCCGGGGTCGCTCAGCTGGTGATCTTCTCGTCTTTCTAACACACTGGTGGCGTCTGGCACTGGTGTTCGAGACCAAAGGAGAGGCTTGTGCCTGGCATAAGGCGCTTCTCTCGAAGCTCCCTTCCTGCGAGCTTCCCAAGAAATTGTGTAATTGGGTCACCAGCTTCCTTGCGGACAGAAGCATTAAGGTCGTTGTCGACGGTGCATGCTCCGACTTGAAATTCGTAAATGCTCGTGTCCTGGGACACCAGCATTTACGAATTTCGGCTGTGTGCTATCACCCACACTGTTTCTTCTGCATATCAATGACATATGCAGATGATAGCACAAGAGATGCCCTTTATACCGGCCGCCCCAACATTTCTCGGGAAAACGTCATTGAGAGTCGAAACAAAGTTGTGTCTGAAATTGAAACTTCCTTAGTGTAGGTTTCAGATTGGGTCCGACTAAATCTAGTCCAGTTTAACCCAAAAAAGACACAGGTATGTGCGTTCACCGCAAAAAAGATTCCATTTGTCGTATCACCTCACTTTGAGAGCACCTCCCTAACTGGTCGATCAGCATCGGAATCCTAGGCATCGACATATCGAGCGAAGTCCAGTTTTGGGGTCACTTAGAGGGTGAGGTCAAATTGTCCTCGAAGAAGCTCGGTGTCCTGAACAGATCGAGGCAGTATTTCACTCCGGCCCACCGCCTTCAGCTCTATAAGGCGCAAGTCCGGCCGCATATGGAATACTGTTCTTATCTCTATGCAGGGGCACCTCAGTACCAGCTTCTCCCTTTGGACCGCATCCAACGAAGAGCGACTCGAATCGTCGATAGCCCAAACATCTCCGATCGGCTCGATTCCTTGGCGTTTCGCAGAGATGTGGCTTCAATTTTCTATCGCATATATCATAGAGAGTGCTCCGAGGAAATGTTGGGACTAATACGAGTACCAGCCGCAAATTTCCGCCATCGTTCCACACGGCAAAATTTTCATCCTCATTACCCGGATAGTTGGCGCTTCACTACTGTGGGCTTTTCGAGACACTTATTGCCCCGCACAACCAATCTGTGGAACGGGTTATCGTCTGCGTTATTTCCGGACCGCTACGACCTTCAAACCTTTAAGAAAAGAGCGTACTCCTTCCTAAGAGGCCGGCAACTCGTTTGTGACTCCTGAGTTGCAGACGTTCATGGGCGGCGATAGTCACTTTCCATCAGGTGACCCGTCTGCTCGTCTGCCCCCTCTAACATAAAAAAAAAAACATTTGCATTTAGAAAAAAAAAATAGACAAATGATTATGCACATACTTCATTATTTATTGGCTTTTAATTTGCCTGTTATTGTTTCTATAAGTGTATAGTCTATTATTATTTAACATTCACTAGTCACAAAACCATTATTCTTTAATATTATGATCCATTCTTATCTAATCAAATAAAATAACATTGGTTTTAGGCTTACCAGGGATGAATTTAAACAATTGACTGGGAACATAAATGAAGTGTTACAAGTTCATGAACAGTTCCTTGCTCTGCTTGATGAATGTGCTACAAAAACAGGGCCAGATCAGCGAGTAGGAGGGCTTTTCCTCCAGTGGGCTCCTAAAATTAAAGCAGTACATCAAACATATTGTGCTGGTCATCCAAAAGCTGTTTGTATACTTGATAAATATAAGTAAGTGGTTACAATTATAATATAATAGTGATAGTGTAATGTTAAAGTAATGTCTCATTCTCAAATGGTAAAATAGGCACAGGTTTCCTACATTTATATAAATAGAAGTTACAATATACACAAAACTTTTATTTTCTTTTTAAGACAACTTCCGCTTTAGGAATATATCCTGTGTTGTGGGTTACTTGACAAAAAGAACAGCCAGAACTAGAATAACCTATATATCCCACAAAATGTTATTCTCGGGATCACACAAAGTTTTCTTGCATGTTGGGATCGAACCCACAACACTCAGCGCTGTAGGAAGTGGTGTGGTGACCCTTAAAACACTGCACCATCCGTGCAGTCAAAACAAACAATAATCTTACTGTAAAGACAGAAATTAGCATATTATTACTGTAGTTTAATATGTTTTTTTTTATTCTGTAGAGAAGACCTGAATACATGGATGGAGAATGCTGGTGCTGTTTGTCCTGGGGTGCTAGTATTGACAGCTGGCTTGTCAAAGCCATTCAGACGATTAGGGAAGTATCCTGCCATGCTTCAAGAATTAGCGAGACATGTGCATGAGGCACATCCTGACAGAGGTGATACTCATCGGGCATCTGTTGTGTACAAGGATATTGCTGTAAGTTTACAAGTTTCACACACCCTTTAAAAGGGTGTTTTGTTTTTTGTTTTTTTTGTTTTTGTTAATGCTTCTGGACACAGTAGTTGTTGATGTTGCAAATTCCTGATTTAGAGCTTGTTGACAATAATTAGCCTAGATTTGCTATGAAATAAATGAAAATAGTTTCAATATGAACTTTAGAGGATTCATAAAAAAAATAAGAACTCTAGGTATACCTATCCTATACAATCCTACCTGGACAATGCACAAATTTGTATTTTTATAACATTGTCATTTTCATGTCTATGTCAATAAAATGTGGTACCAAAATAAATTGTTAAAGGTGAAACTAGATTTTATGTAAAGATTAAACATTTATACATGTCTAATTTATACTTTCACAAAAATATACTTATGAATAATAGTTAGAGATAGATAGTTTTGGGCAAAAGCTGTTTTTATCTAAATTTTAAATACAAGAAATTTTTTAAATACAATTGTTTGTTATTTTGGAAAAGGTTAATTTCAAAAAACCTAATAAAATACCAAGCTTTATATACTCATACAAGTAAGGTAGTACAACATTATAAAGCAATTTCATAGATTTTCTGGTTAACATGGTTGGTGTAACTCAAATGAAACACTTGATAACAACAATTGTGGTTCTGTCAGAAGAAATTGTAATTATTTTCGACAGTAAAAGGTGCATTTTGAAATCTTTCTGTATACTTAACTTGATTTTGGCATATGTATAAATTGAATGAAACAAAGTAATATTATCTATTATATTAAATAAACAATTAAACAAAGTAATATTATCACCAATTATGAATGACTATACTCTGTTAAAAGTAATAGACACGTTTGGTAAAAGCTATATAATTTTCAGAGTGGTTGTGCAGCACTACGGCGCCAAAAAGAACTGGAACTGCAAGTGGTAACTGGGGAAGTTCGGGGCTGGCCTGGTGGTGAGCTAGCCTCTCTTGGAGATGTTTTACACATGGGCAGCGTGGCTGTTGGCCCCTCCCATCAAGACAGATATCTTGTTCTTTTCCCTTCAGCACTGCTTTTATTATCAGTCAGCAAAAGAGTCTCGGCTTTTGTGTATGAGGTAGTTAACTTTTCTCTCAAGTATGTAAATTGTATTTTCTCTGCATTGTATGTCTAACTATATATTTTGTGTTTGTAGGGTTGTCTTCCTTTAACAGGTATAACGGTTTGCAAATTAGATGATACAGATACCAGAAAGAATGCATTTGAAATAAGTGGACCAATGATAGATACCATAATAGCAGTTTGTCAAACCAGAGCAGAAGCTGATAACTGGGTGAGCCTGTTGCAAAAGCACTCCAATACCAGTAGTCCTGCTCATGAACCTGGACAGCCACAATCTTTGCCTCATGTAAGTCATTTTTGGAAAATTATCTTAATTTTAAGTAAATGTACTTTGTAAAGAGATGATGATGATGATAAATGAAGAGGCCGAAGATTGACAAAGCTTTTTAGATCTGATGAAAGGGAGGGAGGACGGTTAACTGAATTAAGAGACTATGAAGTATATTTAAAATTTCCAGTTCTTAGAAGGAACAAGATTTTTTATTAGAAAATTGTTCAATGGTTCTAACATTGAACAATTTTCTACAGACAGTGCTATTTATAGCAATTTTTAATTCTAATTTTATTGAAGAAAGAGATTTCTTCAATAAAAAATTACTTTTGAAGTCGGTTTCAAAAACGATATTTAATATCGTTTTTGAAACCGACTTCAAAAGTAATCGAAGAAATTCGACAGGGATTACGCGATTTCTTCCTCAACTGTAAACAGATTTCAATAGTTCTCTTTTAAATTTAATTGGTTATACTCAAGGTTGGTCCCATTTTGAAGACTATATTCTTAAATTCAGGCGCATTCAAGTGGCAATATTTTTAAAGATTGAATGTTTTTTTTTAACTTGTAAGAAATCTATCAACAATTGTCGTAAGAGAAAAGACTGGCGTATTATATATATATATTAATATTAACTATCCAAAGTTACTATATATATGTTTTAATAAGTATGTAGTACAAGTCTTAGCTCTAAATTAAAAAAAAAAATAGAAAATGGTGTGTACTGTTTTCATATAATAAATTTGTTTAAGACGACTTTAGTCCCTTTTAACAGCAGAATCACTCATCTTGATAATTTAATTGATAGTGTATTAAATAATAATTAATTAAGGTGGAATCTAAGGTTTTTTTGTCATTTTGGTTGTATAGTTGACCCGCTCTCCTTCCGAAGGGGCGTTGTCTAGCATCAATTCTAGTCGCCGCAGCCTTTATCACGTGACACTACCACCGCCTAGCTACCCTTCTGCATCACCTTATTATTCGTTGACTAAATATTTCGCAAGACTTGTTAAGAAAAAAGTTATTACTAGACAAATGCTACGTAAACTTTTACATGAAAGAACCTGGGCTAAGGCTTTTGAATTAACAGGAATGCCAGTATTAAGGAGACATAAAAATCATATACGGTTGCGAATAGATAATGATGGTGTGATAGCTGCTGAAACTGAATATTCAGATAGTGACGATAGTGATCAGGATACTGAATCGTATGCGAGTTCGAGCTATACTAATACTGAAGCTAGCAGCAGCAACAAAATATTGAGACAAGATGCTATGGATACTCCTAGAACAATGTCCTCCTGTAGCAGTTGGGATAGTAATTTTGATTATGTGCATTATTTTAATAAGTCTAACGTTGGGCATTTAGTTGAAAGTCAAGAAATAAACAAAGCAGATTGTACACAAAAAATATTTGGTACTATTGCAGGCAGCAATAAAATTCACAACACCCTTAGAACTATAGACAGTGGACAACATTACCAAATAAGTTCTTCAGGTAGTGCAAACTATTTAAATCCGCTTGTCTTACATTCCGAAAGTACTGATAATTCCATTTTCGAGGTTAAACCCTACATGGCTTGTGAGGATCTAGTTAACATGGATCAAAATATGCAAATTGAACTTGGAAACGATGAACACGACTTCATACCAACAAGACGGAGTTTTCCTAATCGTAGTGCTAAAAACGATACAGTTCCAAAGCTTTGGAAATCGACAGAGGAAGATTACACTCACCACGAAGATAGTGTTCAAGAGTCGCTAGTTTCTAATGTTTTACAAAATCTAGATCCACCATCACCCAAACAGATATATAGTCCTATAGAATCTATTATATTAGACCCTCCACCAATGTTCCGCAATGACGAAGAGAATATGAAAATAATTAACGTAAACCTCAATACTAATGTTCCATTCCGAAAGCACTCTCTTAATTCGGATAAAAGAATAAGGCGATCTATGTCGAGGTCAATGGTAGAATCTGAAAATTACCATCGCAAAGAAGATCCTAGTTTGATCAGAATGAGTTCACAGTCTGAGCGTCATAAAGTACACAAAAAGTGTGAATGTTGTAATAGATCACTGTGCCCCAGTCCCCGTTCGTCTGACTCTGGTGTTGTAGGCAGTTGTAACTTAGCATCTCCAGAGTTAAATATGCATGAATATGCGAGCTCGGGAACAGCTGGTAATGAATCAGACTCGCACGACAAGGGGTCTCATCATGCCCAAGATTCTTTAACTAATTTATCTGAAGGAAGTTTCGACTCTGATCGTAGGAAGAAGGTCACCTTATCAGAAATAGAGGCAGCTGCTTTCGAAGAACAGTGTAGATGTACTTCACCTTTTGGATCCACAGCTCGAACTTCTTGTGTGACAAGTGCAACCTCAGAGAATAGTCTCGATGTAATAGATTCGTCTAACGTCAACGTTACGTCCACCTCTGTATCGTCTACTATGGCTACGCCAAATATTAAACGTACTTCTATAAGACGAAACATTGAAAGTTATATTCCTGTAATCAAATTGAAACCTGATCCTCCGCCTAGGTTGTACAGGAAACCGAGTACTCATATAGAATTGCCGAAAAACGTGCGACAGCCGTTACCTTGTCAGTGGAGTACTCTGAATATAACCGAAAAAACAAAACCAAGTTTACACTATCACATGCGAATCTATCGAGATCCAGCTGAAATGAAAAATACAATTATTGAGAGGCAGTCTCGCGTCAACGCGCCTCGTAACCGTGACTTATTTGGTAAAGAGAACAAGCAAAACGTTGATGCGCATAATACAGAAATGCGTAAAACGCGATCTCGTAGTGAGGACTTGACAAAGATGCAGAAGGGTTTAGCTGAGGGTCAGTCTGGCTTTGTGGTGTATCGTTCAGATTTGTACGCACACTGGTGGATGAAAGCAAAGTTACCGATTACTGTGGTCACCGACTCAGGCAAGGATTATTCTTTTGTAAAGAGCTACTGATTTGTGTCACTGGTTTGAAGATAATACTGCCTTGAGGTTTTGTAACCATTAGATTAATACTGTCATTAGAGTTCCCCAGTGTTGCAGTGCTTTACTTGATCATCCTTGCCTGTGTTTATTCATCACACTAACTACAATAAATCACTGCAAGTAGATCTCACGTAATTGTACTAACCAAAACAAGATAAAAGTAATGCATGGTAAGGCTTATTTACCTACTCATCCCACCAATATAAAATTTTCCATGTTGAAATCCATTTGAACTGGGCTTTGAAGTTTTACTGCCGAACCGACCGCAGCTGTTGTTAAAAATATAGACAATAATGCTATTAAAGATAAGAGTACTGGATGCTGCAATGATGAGCCATACAATATATCTGTTTTATATTCCTGCTTAAATAAAATATATGTATAAACAAGGGTTTTGTAAACTTACGAAATTTATAAAAATATATTAAAAAATTGCTAACTCTAAATCAAGGTTTTGTTCTCAAATTATCCTCGTTTGGTAATTTTGGCCTAATCGTGGTATGTTTTTCAACAGATGGCCATGAGCGACAGCAATAATTCGGATCTATCTGCTGGCCTAACGAACCACAAAAGATCACACTCATTCAACAATCATCAAAGCTACACACAACACACGCAACAAACGCAAAAAAATAAACAAAAGAATCAGTCCGCGCGATGGCTACTGAATTCATGTGACTCTCTCGACCAATCTCCTGCCAAGGCAAACAAAACCCCTATCGGCAAGAAATTTTCATCTGTTGACTTTATCGACACAGCAGCCTCGAACTACAGCAACAAAGGTAAAGTAGCTTCTAAAAAATGTGTCGTAAATGAACTTATATGTATACTCATTAGAAGTTTGAAGAGACTATTCCTCCTGGTCTAGTCCTGAAATTCAATTCACCGACTTTGTGTATTCTATCCTTGTATCGACGTCTATTATTATTATTATATTATAAAAAACTTTATTATAATATAATAATATTGGAAAATAAACTTCTATATGTACTTATTTGCATATTTAGGGTGGAGCATTACATGTTTAAGGCCCGCGCCGCCACTCAGGCCTCAATCATTCACGGTGGGTTCGGATGAAAACATTGGCCCGACGCACCCTTATGCCCCACATCAACGCAAGTCCAATTCTTACGAAGAAGACGCCCTTATTTTAAAAGTTATCGAAGCGTATTGCACGTCAGCACGGTGCAGAAATGCTGTTAGTTCTGGTGAGTACTTTTTAATGTATGTTTGACTAGAAGGGAATAATGGTTTGACTAGCTAGAGTAATATACTAAGATACATATTTATACACGACTAAACAACAAAAACATTAAAAATAAAAAGTAATCTGATGTGATTTTAGTAACTACAAAGGAATGCCATGCTTGAATTTATTAAGTTTTTTTAGAGATTATTATATAAGGTATCAATATGAGTAAATTGATTGAATTCAATGTTTGTTGGAACTTGATAAAACGAAAGGTATCCACTAACACAGCGTGTTTATTATGCAGTACCCAATATTCCACTGGAGATTTTCGAGTCGACAAGGAGGAGACATGCGAAGTCAAGAAATCGTATTATCAGTTGGTTATTAGAATGAAATATATGTATTTATCCATGATACCAAATTTTTGCTAGTCATAACAGTAGCGCTTGAAAATTATATTACTTCAAGTTTGCTGATGTTGATGTAATGACGATAATTTAAGTAATACTTCGTTTATCACTGTTATATTTTATAATACTCAGTATTCTGCTCAGTATGTTGATACCTACAGACACACGTCTCTAAGTGCATGTGACGCATGCTTTAATAATCTCTTATATTGTAATAGTCCTTGTAGATCTGATTTCGTTAGTATACATTATTCAACTGGGATTTACGTTAAATAGTATAACGTTATTTAGTTCGCGTAAGTACAAAGTAGCTAGTCGCTGTCGCTGTAGAAGTTACTTATTTATTTAACATCGTCATTAGTATATACGGGTCGGTTTACATTGGTATTTCAACTGTCAACGATGTCAACTTGAAGCACAAATATTTATTGCATTTTGTTTAAATAACTATCACCATGAAATATATCTTGTCACTAACAAATTGCAACAACGCTCTCTTCCATCAGCTTGATGTTAAATCACGAGCCGGATGCTATGTTATAGGGATATGTACATCTCAATACTGTTCTGATCTGGTAGTCTGAATCTTTCTATTTTGTTACATGCGGCTGCCTTTATATCGCACCTGCAGTGGACTGCGGCCACTTATCTCTTGGTAAAGTACAATATCACGCACCCGCTACTAACATACCTCACTATAACTACACTAAACTTCCGACCGTTCAGCGAAGTAACACGCCCGATTATTCCGGCTGTAACAAATCGTCAAAAGTAAAACGTAACAAAAGTTCCTCTGCGGCGGACTCGTACGTATACCGGGGGCCGGACACGAGGAGGCTCTTGTCCGAACAAAAATTCGTCATGAACCGCTCTAATCCTAATCTGTGGGAGTGTTCGGAGGAACGTAGACAGAAGCTATTGTGCGGAAGAGAAAGACGCAGCGGATCTCATCCCAGCTTAGCAGCGCCTTTGAGGGCCGTCTTATCAGTTCCTTCGCCTTCGACGGCGTCCCGCTCAGCGCGATCGTCTACTTGGTGCTGTGGCACTTTTGTTAAACATCTCACGAAATCTCATCATTTTGACTGACATAAGTAGATACTATTAGTTTATGCTCATTCTTGTTCCTACATATCACTCGTTCCGCTGTTCGTTCGGAGTACCAACACGTACCTGTTCTCCCCACGAGTTCACGATATTAAGTGAAAAAGTTCATTTTGAAAATTTACATTTAACCAAAGCTGATTCCATTGACTAATATTTTTAGTTTTTATTTTGTTATTTTTTCATTATTAATTAATCGCATCCTCATTTCATTTTAGTGCATTAATTATGGACTTTTAAGTTATTAAATATCTAATGCTAATAAATTTGATCGCAAAGTGTTTTGTGCTTTGATTTCAATATTGCGAAATAAGCAATATGGTCGTAGGTTTTGTAATGTTCGCTCAGGGTGTTACCTATGTTTGCATAGATTTTTCATAGAATGCATGTACGCAGTATTATTTAGTAAATAGATGAAAATTGTACTCATGATTGCTTGTATATTTTATAAAAACTAGTAGGTATAACTATTTTTGGTGCATTGAATCATAGGCTATTAAAAATGTGTATGTGCATGATTACTTGATTACGCTTTGAGCTAAAGGAAGAGTGTACGGATAAATATATTAAAATAAGTATTAAGATAATAAGATAGACGTAATTAACTTATCTTATTATATGCCTATTAGTTTTGCGTGGCCGTGAAAATGTGCCAGACAAAACACACTTTTTTTAACGTTATTTCTATCTATCATTGAGACTCGTTAAATGCCAAATGGTGCTTTTTATACGAAAAAAGTATGTTCATGAAGTAATAAAATTAATTGGTTTTTTTTTAGTATAAACTTCAAAACGTTTGTAGGAAATATTTCAAAATATAATATTATTGTTTATTATTATATATATATAATCCTTTATTTTAAATACTTGAAGTAATGGATATTGTTTAAATTAAATGGTGTTATTTAGGTTATACCTTGGATAGTTATTGCTTGATTTATGTCAACGAAAAATGTTCCTTGTTACCTGAATTTGCAGTCAAATCTATAGGACATTTAGTGAGAGGATTTTCCAAAGCTCTTTACCTATTCTTTAATGGTATCGAGTTCTACTAATTTATAGAAAACAATTGGCAGATAGCAGTTGAGTTAATTACAACTAAGGTGACAGAATAAAACTTTAATGATTGCGGTAGATCGGGACGGTAAATAGGTGAACACTACCAAAACAAAAACAGTAAGTAACATTAGATAAGATATAGTCAATGAAAAACAATTTTTTTCAGTTTTCTTACATTTGAACGTGAAAAGTTTAATTGGTTTGTTGATCAAAATACTTGCAATCCAAGGTTAAAATAAATGTTTTTGTTATCAAATCTATTTTTAAGACTTCTGAGAAGTCCATATATTTATAAATAAATATGGAGTTATTCTATGCTATTTTAAGCCAAAATAACATGCAAACCAGACGGCGGATTAAACTTTTTTCTAATTCTAGTGTGTCTTGTCCTTTGTGTAGACGTGTTGGTCGGGTTGGAGCCTTGATCGCCAAACAAAACAGTTCCAGTTCCGTAACAGGGCTGTTAGGTTTTCCAATTTCACAAGTAGAATGCAGTTTTGTTTCATTTTGAGTAACTTTTAAGCAAAACGATTGCGCAATATTTTTGAGAACATTCTCTTTTATGTTAGGAACAAGGTTAGGTTTCATTCTTATATCTATATCTATACAAATAAATAAAACTGGTGCGTCTATTTATAATGTTAAAGTAAAAGGTTTTTTCATGCTGACGCGGTGATTTGCACTAAAAACCAGTTTAAATATTTTTTGTCTGTCTGTCTGTCTGTCTGTTTGTTCCGGGTAATCTTCAAAACGACTGGACCGATTTTGATAATATATTATATATATATTTTACTGCCAGCTAGCTGTCTATATAAGGAGTAACTTAGGCTAGTTTTTCTCTCAGAAAAACCCTAAAAAATTTTGCTCAGTCCGGGAATAGAACCCACTAAGGCAGTGCTTTTCAAATTCCACGCAAATGAAGTCGCTGGCACAAGCTAGTTCTTAAGTCGACCAGACGACAGCTTATCGATTTTTGTCAGCAGAGAATCGTACAATGAATTCATTGATTTTAAAATTGTAACTTGTTTCTTCAAATTTACTCTTTCTAAATATAAAAAAGTCTATAATTTCAAACCAAATAGACTTGTCATCAGTCCAAGTTTCATTTTTTACCACGATGACGATACCTCAAACCCAGCTCAACGTCAGTAAAACGTGTTAACATTTTAACGTTGACATCCCGGGAAAGCCACAATACCTTACCCGACTTTGATAAAAAACCAATAGTACATTACACAGACAAAGTTCGACAGATTATAAGGATAATTTCATGTTGTTGACAATGCCTATTTCATATTTTGTTATCACACATTTCAAGATTTATATTTTTTAGTGTAAGAGTTATTTATGAAGTCACCAGAATTAGTCTCGCTGTATATTTAAAACGTTTGTTTATCTAGGTGCGTGTAGTTGGAAATAAATTATAAAAATAGACGAGACGACATATTATGAAGACAGATGACCAAGGATCTCATTGCAACTAAAAATGATTACCGACTTCTTATTGTTGAAGCAAACGTGAATACATAGGATTAAGTTATACATCCATCAGTTCAACCTACAATATACATGACCCCCTCTCACATTAGAACTTTCTCTTTTATTAAAATAATTGTGATAATTTTACAGTGACAATAGATTTGACTGCAATTCAGCTGTTTAACTCTATCGCCAATGAACAAAGAATGATGTTACAACAGGAATAATGCTAGACTAGTTTGGATTTACTAAAAAGTTTACGTTTGTAGGTACTAGGGCTAATAGAGACTAGTGAAGCAAGTTATTAGATTGTCTAACAGGTAATCAGAGGGGGAAGCGGCTGCCCGCAGCGTTCATTCATTTAATATTGAACACGATAGCGTAATACACAGCATGCAGCGTGTACATAAGAACGTTACTGTACCGCTGCCAACTGCATATTATACCTAAGCCCTATCCGTTTCTTTCATTCTATGAATTTGATTATCAGACTATATATTTCACATCTTTTGTCTCGAAAATTGAATTTATTAACATGATAGTATATGTTAATAGTATATTTTTTAATTATAACATTTTCACTCTATGATTAATCAAAGATTTTCTCACTGGAATTCTACGAGTTTCATTACACAAATTTGCGTCATCAACAAAAATTATTATAGAACTGATTCAGCGACGCGCCATTCCCACGTCCCATTAGGGAAAAGAGCTAAAAATAGTGGTTTTCCAAGCATATTCTGGCGCTGATTAATTGGAGTAGAAACTCACAAAACTGACTTACGTAGTTCATACATCGCTATTTACTGATGACAATTTTATTTTGCCGAGAAAAAGTAATAAAAGTGTTTCCTTTTTGTTATATAAGTATACATACACCGTGTTACTTAGAGAAATATTTTTCCAGCCTATCATATATTCTGAAATAATTGTTCCAAATACGCCTTTTATTGTCTGTGCATTTTAAACAACAATTCATGCTAATTTCAATGAATTGTTTAATGATATATGTGTAGTATGTGGACTCCAAACCCCTTTTTCGGGGGGCTATACTCTTCGATACTGAAATATAACTATAGGTTTCTATGACGCAATGTAATATTAACTACTGATAAGAAAATATTATTACATTTTATATGACGTGACATTTTAAAGTATTATATATAGTTAAATGTTTATATGAAAATGTGTTGCAATTTTGATCGCAAATTTATTTTGTGTAATGATAAAATTATGCCATTTCATAGATACGCCACTATTTGTTTCGCGTGACAGGTAATGTAACATGTATTAGTAAAAACTATCATGTGACTTGAGTAGTATTATCAGAACTTAAGGATTTTTTTTTTCAATATTTACCTTTATGAAGATATTTTATTGCCACTAACCGTCATCAAACAAATCTGTTGAAAAATTGTTGAATTTGTTCAGTATATCCTTATAAATTATTATGTATGTATTTATTTACATGTTATTATTAATATATATATATATATACCATTATTAGTATGACTGTATTTTTCCTGTATATTACAATGTAAATGTGATAAGCTAACGATAAATGTGAACATGTTTAGTTTGTTGTACATATTAAATTATTATTACATCTAAATACTAACTGACTGTATAGAGATTACTGTTGTTATAATCTACAGATGTTATGAGGGTTCAATAGTTCAGTCAGTGCTGATTATTTTATAATGATGATGATTTATTGTCAAGAATATACGTTGAATTAATATTGAGTTTTTATTATTAGTCGGTTAGGTATCGGTGTATTTAGTTCCTTTACATTTTTATAGTAATTTAACATTATTATAAACAAAATAATCTTGAAATAATAATTTGATGATTGATGATTTTGACGAATTGCCAAATTAGCGAGTAGTAGTAATATGGCTACAATCGTGATAATAAAATATGACAATACTGCATCATTATTGTAGTTAGTAACAACAAATATTCAATACACTAAAAACTGTTTTTAAAATTACCGGCAAACGGCGTCCCCTCCACAGTAAGAGCCTTCATATTAAACTGTTGTTTATAACACATAATCTACATATATGTTTGTTTTAAATGTTCATTAATTGTAGTTTATTAACGTAGTATTTACTTGTTTACCGATATAAATTCTAACACCTAAAAGTTTTGTACATGGATTAAATCCATGTTTCTCCTTAGTATACGTATGTGTTTGTGTTAGTCATATATTGCTATTTGTAGTAAAATCGTATATATGTTATGCATTATGTTACATTATACCACCAACATTATTACCCTTACGTACATTTTAAAATGATTGTGTTAATTAAAAACCCAAGTACCTGGGTTTTTAGCCTATATATATCTCCTTTAATAACAAGCAGTTTAAAAATACTCATTTACGCGAGGAATGTTCTAGATATTAACTCAAGCTATCTTTGTTTATTACTGCAAATAAAAAG